AGTGGGTGAGGTGTTGAATTATCACCTCAGCTCCAGGCGCCTGCGCTGAGGCAGGGACACAAGGACCCGAGGGGATTCCATGCGGGCTCCACACTGAATCCTTACCACCCCCAGAGCCAGCAGCCGCGTGCTCACCCTCCCCTACTGCGAGCCTTTCGGAGTGCAGCTCTGCGTTGCGGGTCTGTGGTGGCCCTGGGTTGGTGCCTCCTCCCTCGGGGACCTCTGGCAGCCCCGAGACTCTCGATGCACTCAGCTTCCCCCTTCGAGCCCAGACCTGCAGACCACCCAGCCCGACCCTTCACACCGGGTCCCGCAGGCGGCGCAGCTCGGGGGGCTGGTATCACGCTGCCTCGGCTCCCCTGGCCCCCAAGTCTGTCTGACATCGCCTCACTTAGCGTGCAGTGACCACTGGGGCCAGCACGCCTGGCCCCAGGGCCACAGCCATAGCACTTGCTTCAGCAATGGAAGCCCAAAGAGGCCTGAAAATCCTCTCCTGAGCCAGAGAAGGGGCAGCGGAAGTGGGCAGGAGGGCGGAAGGAGGAAGGGGAGGAGGAGGAGGGGGCACAGAGGGGGTGGGGCTGCTGCCAGCCCTCTTTACCCTCGAGGCTCACCTCCCCTTCCAGAAGCAGCCAGAAGGGATCGCGTTTCCTGTACTTTGAAAGAAGAAACTGAGCAACTCGGCTCTGAGACTTGGCCCGCCTGGCCCAGGGCCACACCCAGACACCCGGAGCTGGAGCTGGGTCCCAGCCAAGGCCGCTCGCTTCCTAGGGCGGCACTCTCGGCCCTGCCAGGTCAACGCCAGGAAGCTCGGAGGGAACACAGCGCCAACTGAACTCTGGCTTTCTTGAGGACAGTAGGAATGAATAAGGCCAATTTTCGGAGAAAACTGGACCCAGGGATAGAAACTGGCTCCCAAGTGGCCCCTTTGCCCTGAGGCACTTGCCCACCCCGGAGAGAAGGGGCAGAAATCAAATTCTGAGGCCCCCCAAATGGCCGCAGCATCAGGGTGCGAGTGAGCCCAGAACTGCCACTGAGCCAGTGTTCAAACTCCCCGGTTGTCCTTGAGTCTTTCACTTGGTTTTCGGGGGTCTTGGATGGTCGGTGCCCACTTCTTCCTTGGGCCTCAGTCTTCCCACAAGTGCTTCTTTGTGTATTTTTATTTTGTATCATTGTAGAGACGAGGTCTCGCCATGTTGCTCAGGCTGGTCTCACCCCTGAGCTCAGACAATCCCCTTGCCTCCACCTCCCAAAGTGCCGGGATTACAGGTGTGAGCCACTACACCCAACCTCCCACAAGTACTTCTTAAGGCCCAAGGGTCAGTTACACAATCAGAGATGACCAGGTACGCCAAGAAACAAGACTCCAAGAGCGAGAGTCAGTGGAAATAAGGAACAAAGCAGCAGATGGGCAAACTCTTCAGATCCTGGAACTATTAGGCATGCATTAGAAAACAGTCATGCTTACCAGATTTAAAGAAAGAAAAGTAGCCAAGCGCAGTGGCTCATGTCTGTAATCCTAGTGCTTTAGGAGGCCAAGAAAATCAATACGAGATGGAATCACGTGAGATGCGAGAAAGCGTAAAGAGCAAAGAGGTGCCCTCGTGACAACACCTAAATCAACACTGACCATATCATCATGGTCAGCAAGCCACACCTGTTAGTGTAAATACAAAACAAAATAGGAACCCAGCTACGGCCAATCATTATAGATAAGGGAGCGTAGGCCCCAGGGACACCAAAATCTGCAGGTGCTCCAGTCCCTGATAGAAAATGCCATCGTAAACCGAGCATGGTGGCTCGTGCCTGTAACCTAGCACTTTGGGAGGCAGAGGCAAGAGGATTGCCTGAGCCCACAGGTTCGAGACCAACCTGAACAATATGGCGAGCTCTTTTTGCCACAATAAATCAAAAAAGGAAAGTGAAACCAGGCTCGGTGGCTCAGCCTGTAATCCCAGCACTTTGGGAGGCAGCCCTCAGTTTCATTCCCTTAGGAGTCCTGACATCCCTTTGGCCAAGGCACTGAAAAGTGTCCCCTTTGCTGAGGACCCCGTGTCTTCTCTCCTTGGTGGAGGCTTCAGCCCCCTCTTTCGCTTCCCAGTTTTACTTACGTGTATGTACTCTATTTCCTTCTCCAGAAAAGGGCCTAAAAGACACCTGGGGTGTGCTTCCAACAGAAAGTCCAGAGAAGCCACCCCGACCTAAGTGCTGACCTGGAGTGACAGATGAAAGTGGCCTGCAGCGAGTCGACCTCGATGAGGACAGAAGACCCACCCGCAGGACAAGCTGGAGCAGGGCAGGGCACATGCGCTCTGCCGACCACATTGGCCAGCCCCCAGCAAGGGGGAGGGCAACAAGCTTTGGGGTTCAAGTTAAATCCTTGCTAGACCCCGTCAAAAGCCACCTCAGAGGAAATAAGGAACTTGCCCGAGGCTGCCCTTGTGTGGTGCCCCTGCCTCTGGGCCCTCAGAGGGACTCATTAAACCAACCTTCCCTAAACGCCTGCTCCTAGCAAGATAAAACAGTATCCCGTTAGAACTACCAGTGTGCAGGGCCAGGCGAGTCACTACAAGCTTCTTCCACGGGGCCCCACTGCCGAGGGCATAGAGCCAAGGTTCACTTCCACAGATAGCGAGAGGCCACCAAATTCCCTAACAAAACTCAAACACAAGCCCTGACTAGGGCAGCCATGGACTACCTTGACCGTGTTAGGAAGACGTTTGTATGAGTGTTGTGTATGCCCGTGTAGAAACTGCTGGATCCTAACCAGAGCTCTATCATGCCTGGCTCTAAGCCCTCTCTGTATTTTGGATTATTTCCTTGGGGGTGAAGGCAAGTCCCCGTGGGACTGAGGCAGGGGGCATAGGGTAGACATAGATAAATTTCCCATTGGCAGGTTTTGGGAGCATTCATTTTTTTGTTTGTTTTGTTTTGGTTTTGAGTTGGAGTCACTTTGTCGCCCAGGCTGGAGTGCAGGGGCACGCTCACAGCAACTGCAGCCTTGACCTGCTGGGCTCGGGTGATCCTTCCGCCTCAGCCTTCCAAGTAGCTGGAACTACAGATGCACGCCACCACACCCAGCTGATTTTTGTGATTTATTGTAGAGGCGAGGGCTCACCAAGTTGCCCAGGCTGGTCTCAAACCCGTGAGCTCAGGCAATCCTCTCGCCTCGGCCTCTCAAAGTGCTGGGATTATATAAGCGGGAGCCACTGTGCCTGGCTGGAAGCGTTCATTTTTAAAATTACATTCTGCTGGTTGCGGTGGCTCAGCCTATAATCCCAGCACTTTGGGAGGCCGAGGCGAGAGGATTGCCTGAGTCCACGGGTTCGAGACCAGCCCGGGCAACTTGGCAAGCCCTCATCTCTACAATAAATAAAAAAGTAAAATAAAATAAAAACATCAGCCGGGCATGATGACACATGCTTGTGGTTCCAGCTACTTGGAAGGCTGAGGCAGAAGGATCGCCCAGCCCAGCAGGTCCAGGCTGTGGTGGCCGTGAGCCTGCCACAGCACTCCATCCTGGACCACAGAGTGAGACTCCAGCTGGAAAGAAAGAGAGAGAGAAGAGAGAGAGAGAGAGGAGCCAAAGAATCCACTGGTTTTACACCACACCCCACCCAGCACTAGGACCACGGGGTCAAAGCGCAGGGAGGTGCCCAGCTGCCGGGGCAGTCAGGGCTGCCTTCCTACAGGGCTTCCACGGGCTTCCATCGGCAGAGAGAGCCAGGAAGGGCGTGGGGGCAGCGTGAAGCGGGATGGAGGGAGTAGGCCAGCAGCCAGGCCTGCGAGCAGAGGTGGGTGACTGGCTGGGGTCTGTCTGCCTGCGGGGGAGGCTTCCTGGGTCCACACAGCTGGCCGCGTGCCTGGCACCGCTGAGCACCGGGGAAGCCAGGCACAGCTCTTTCCAGAGGCCCGTTTTTCCTCAGGGTTAAGGAATTCAGGTGAGGTTGGTTTTCAAGTGAAAACAGAGGTCAGGTGACCAGTAAAGCCACACCGGAGGCCTCAAGCTCTCGCTCTAGCTCTAGCTTCCCCCACTCTCCCCAAAGGTGGGGTGCCGGAGGAAGCAGGGGGAGCAGCCGGGCGGGGAGGAGGGGCTTGGGAGGTCAGACGGGAGAGCAGGCAAGAGCCTGCCAGCGGGTCCAAATCGCCTTGCTGAAGAGTGACACGGGACACGGCAGGGACACGGCAGGGACGCGCCTCCAGACAGAAGGCAGGCGGCGCGGGAAGGCAGCCCGGCTGGCCCCGCCACGCTGCCGTCCCTTCCCGGCTCCGATCGCGCCCAGGTCCACCTGCCGCTTGCCAGGCTTCCCAGCGCAGACCTCGGGGCGCCAGCGGACGCCACCGGCTCAGCCCAGGTAGGCGGGGACCTCCCGCCCGAGAAGGGTCCCAAGGGAGGCTTCCGGGGCGGGGCCGGCGTGGGGCCAGAGGCGGGGCCA